CAACATGATCATGTTTAAAAATAGTTAAACTATTGGCCCTGGCTGGGTAGATCAGGTGGTTAGAGAGTTGTCCAGAGAGGGTAAGGTTTTGGGTTTGATCCCTGGTCAGGGCACATACAAGAATCAACCAATGAATGCATAAATAAGTGGAACAACAAATCTCTCTGTTTAATATTAATAAAAAAATTAGAAATGATTAAACTGTGGATGCTCAAAATATTATGTTCTGGGTTGTCAAGAAAGGATGAATTTATTCTCTATCTTTTGTTTAAGAAACAAAAGTCTGTAATCCACACAAGAAAATTTTCTGCCAAAATGATAAAAATAGAGATTTGTTACTTAAAGGGATAATTAGTAATTTGGAAATTTTACTTTATAAAATCCATTTCTCCATCTAATTTTAGTCAGCAATCTCTTGTTGGACATGTAATTGTTCTAATCAAGGCTCTTGGGTTGGTAGAGGCAGAACCTACCTATGTTAGTTCATACAAAGAGTGCTTGGACGGATGTAAGGGGTTCTTCTCTGGAGGGGATGGTGAGGGGCGGGCAGTGAGGGAGAAGGGTCGGGTGTCTGGAACTGGGTAAACTTCACCTCCATTTCCTCTTCTGCCTCATTCTTCGAGGCGCCTTTGTGAAATCTCAATCTTCACAAGGCTAAGTTTGGAAATTATTAGCTCTAGTGACCTTTCATGCCCCTTAAAGCTCTAAAACCCCACAAGGATAATATGAGTGAACCTTGCGCGAGGTGCTCTCATAAGCATATTTTTTATCCTCATAATCTTTTATCCTGTGAAGTAGTGGAGGCGAATGTTATCATCTCCCTTTCACAGATAAGGGATTTGAGGTTGGGTGAGTTGCCTAAAGGCCTGTTGCTGCCAAGTGCCCGAGGAGGCCAGGCCTTTTCCAGGGACCTAATTCCTGCTGCTCCTTCGGTTTGACATTCTTTAGCAGCCGCATTTTGACGACCTACTCTAACTGCAGAGGTGATGGAAATGTTGAGCTCGCAGACTTCTGAGTTCCTGTGCCAATTCTTAACGCTGGTATGAGCCGAATTAGTCTCCGTGGACTGATGCAGAAAGTCCTGAGTCGGCGCCCTTTCAGCCATCATTTTCAGCTAGGGACTGTTTCCAGGCCACACACCCTCTCCTTTGGGTCAGTTTTGTCCCATCAAGAGGCATTGTACCTGGAAGGTCCAGGTCATTCTCTTTGCCCTTTTGGGGGGACTCTGATAGGCTGCTTGGAGTTAGATTCCACCTCTCACTAGGACAGTGGTTCTTGTACTTGTCCTCCCCACCCAACCCCTGCACACTCCCCCAGCCTCAGAGCCAGCTGTCCTGGTTCAGATGCTGCCTGGCTATTAAACCAACAGTCAGTTCTTATCAAAAGAGTTGGGATCTAGAACCATCAGTGAGGCTAAATGTGGGCACATATATAAAGTCCACAATATCGAAGAATTCCCAATCCTCAATGTCAGGTGTGGTGTGACCTGGTATGGGGTTGTTTTTGCTGGTATCCAGGGCCACTTCCGTGCTGAAGAATGGGGTCCACAAAGAAGGAGATACTGATACACACTGTGTAACTGATGGATCTCAAAAACGTTAGGCTAAGTGAAAAAAGCTAGCCACAGGGACCACATATGTGCAATGCCATGTGTATGATGTGCCCTGAAAAGGCAAATTTACAGGGAAAGCAAGTAGATTAGTGGTTACCTGAGGCTGGGGGTGGGAAACCGGGAGTCACTTTAAATGGCATGGGGGCGTCCGATGAGGAGATAAACATGTCTTAACACTGATTTTTGGGGATGGTTGCATCACTTAGTTAAGTTACTAAAATCCATTGAATTGTACACCTGAAATTGGTGCATTTTATGAGATGTAAAATAAACTTCCTTTTTAAAAAGGGGGAAAGAAAAAAGAATAGGACTTGAACTAAACATGGCAACTTCCAAGTTTTAGATTATAGTTTAATTATAAGTAAGCTGAAGAATCCTGGATACAGGAGAGGTGTCAGAATTCTAGAGGTGACAGATTCCAGCTCAGATGGTAGAATCAGTTCTTAGATTATGATCACTTATGAATTTGTATTTTGACAAGAATTTCTATGACATGTTTCATGATATTCTGTCTAGTGGACAAGACAGAAGAATGTGAACAAGAGCAATTAGGAGGACCCTGAATAGTTCTTTGATAATATGGACTTCAAGGGAGGAATCTCCCTCCCTCCCTTTCCTCCTTATCCCTCTCCTCCTCTCCCCCTCTTTCTGTCCTTCCCTCCTCTCTCTTCCCTTGCTACTTTCCCCCCTTCACTCCATTCTTTACCTCCCTTTCTCTTCCAGTCATTCTTTCTCTCCTTTCCATACTTTAAAGAATACATATATCTTTTTTATTGATTTCAGAAAGGAAAGGAGAGGGAGAGAAAGATAGAAATATCAATGAGAATCACTGACCCCACATTGCGGATCGAGCCCACAACCCGGACATGTGCCCTGACCAGAAATCAAACCATGAACTCCCCATTCATTGGTCAACATTGAACCACTGAGCCACGCTGGCTAGGCCCTTTCTACACTTTTTTATACAAGTAAAATAGTATACATAGTCATTGTAGAAAAAGAACAAATAGAGAAAGTTTAAAATTATACATAATACATACATAATTGACTTTTTCAGACTTGTTGCTAGTGTCCAAAACATGATCCGGCCACCATTGATTGTCGGGTTTGTGATGGGCCATAGCCTGTGCAGAACAGGGGTCAGACACTACCTGGGGTATGGATTTCACTCCTGGGCACAGGCATTGACTGAGACAGGCCATCTGAGTCTGGGCGGGGGCAGCGGCCAAGCTGGGACACATGCCTTTTGAGGGATAATTGCGGCACCAAGGACTGGTTGATTGTGAGAAGTCTGGAAAGAACGTGATTAACTTTCTTCAAGGTCTGTCATGTCAAGAAAAATTAGATCTGCTTTGTATGCTTATGAGGAGAGAATAAGTAGCACAGGTTGGATGTTCCAGGAAGGCAAGATTCGTTGTAAAGTAAGAGAGCTCTGTCTAACAGGACAGCCTGAAAATGGACTGGGTCCCCCTGGTCACAGGGAGTCCCCCTTTCCTCTATGTCCCTGGAGATACTGTAGCAGGGGCCACAGGCCATTTGGATGAAGAGGCATGGCCTGTGTGTGAGGGGAATTTATCATAAGGATTTAATTCAGAAACCTTTGAGAAAACCTTATGACTAAGAAGCCATGAACTAGAAATCACAGGTCTGATTACAATAGTCTATCGTAAAGCCAGATGAATTATTCCGCAAACATCATTCATTCTCTTGTTTCTTAGAGCAAGGAAGTAACTATTGAACCTTCTAATCTCACATTTTCTACACTCAGCTCATTGGTGAATAAGAGTTCAATTTTTGACCATCTTTGACATTTAGTTCGGTGAGTGTAGAAGCCTTGTGGGGAGATGGTTTTTTTCTCAGTTGTGTTTTCCTTGTATTTTACACTCTTTGTCACCGTAATGTCTCAGACTTGATCTGGGTAAGTGGGGTGATTTGGAGTACTATTCATCTTTGTGTGTCTTTATTTATTTATTTTTAATTTGAAGATTGCTTTCTACATTTTGTAAGTTGAGCCATACTTACAGTGCTTCTGAATCCTGTGTATGTTAAGAAGTTGTACTTTCTGCCCTGGCCAGGATGGCTCTGCTGGGTGATGTCATGTGCACTGAAAGGTTGCCGGTTCCATTCCCAGTCAGGGCACATGCCTGGGTTGTGGGCTCGATCCCCGGTAGCGGATCGAGGCAGCCGATCTCATTTTCACATAGATGGTTCTCCCTTCCCCACCCCCCTTCCTTCCTCTTTCTCTAAAAATTAATCTTAAAAAAAAAAACATTGTACTTTTCCGTTGAATAACAAGGATCTAAATTATGTCTTTAACATCCTTTGACATATTTTCCGTATTTTGCTACTGATGCTTAGAAAAGTTAAAAAATAAGTAGGCCACAGAATCCATAAGAATATGTGAAAATTGCCCATCTGATGTTAATGTTCCCAAAATACATCTGATTAAATAATAACTGAACCTCTTGTTTGTCAAACCTGGTCTGGGCATCAGCAGAAAGGGCACCGCTGGGAGCTTGGTAGAAATGCAGAATCTCAGACTGCAACCTTTGGCTACCGAATCAGAATCTGCGTTTTGATTAGTCGACTTCCCCAGGTGACGTGCTGCAGAGCCCTTGAGTAATAGTAATTTTTCTCAACCTGAGTTTTGTTTGTTTGTTTTTTGAGCACCCGTTTCTGTGCCTCCCATTGTCATTGCGTCCTTTAATCCTCAGATTCACCCTCTAAAGCAGGAGTGGGGAATCTTTTTTCCGCCAACGGCCATTTGGATATCTATAACATCATTTGTGGGCCATACAAAGTTATCAGCTTAAAAATTAGCCTGCTATCACATTTAATTTCCTCACCCCTCATGCCTTGGCAGGGCCAGACCAATTGGTTTTACAGGCTTTATGCGGCCCTCGGGCCGGACGTTCCCCACCCCTGGTCTCTAAAGAAAAGTTGTCACTGGGGCTGCCAGAAGCGTCCCTGAACGACAGTTTCTGGAGTCTGTGTTTCCTAAGCCTGAGACAGGAAAATTGGGGCCCAGCTTGTCATGGCGCGGCCTGGCCGAGCGTGACAGCCTCCAGTTGCTCCAGGCCTCACTTGGGCACACCCTGTGCTTCCTGCTGGAGCCCGGGCGCCCGTGGGAGGATTGCAGAGGCAGCATTTCTCCAGTCTTTTAAAAATCAGGGCCAAATAGCTCCCTGCCCACTGCCATTTGGTAGTATTTTTGTTTTTTTGTTAGGTGTCAATCCTCTTTCCTTTTTCTTTACCGCTGACATCATACGAATGTGTACTGTATTAAATACATATGCATTTAAAATATTGTTTTGATTTATTTGTGAATTGTTTCTCCTGAAGGACCTATCAGGGGAAATGAGTAATTTCTCATATCCTCTTCTTCCAGGAAGAATTTTAAATCGTTTCTCCAAAGACATTGGACATATGGATGACTTGCTGCCCCTGACTTTTCTAGATTTCATGCAGGTAATGTAACAGTAATGTCAAGTTCTCAGACAGAAAACGGAAAGTTGCTAACTTTTCAAGGCCCTCTCGTGGGGGCTCAGGGTGGGCCTTTCAGCCTGGCGATGTGTCATGTTATCTTAAGAAAAGGCCATGTTTGTCAAAGTAAGGTGTGGTGATGGTTTGGAGGCTAAGTTAACATGAGTAATGCCTCGTGTGTAGGAGTGGCTACACAGTCATGCCGAGGTTGGTTCAAAGCAGCTACATGCTTGGTAAGTGGTTCTCCACCTGCCTTCCAGGTATCTGGCGCCAGGTCCACTTTACTGCGAGCACATTTCATAATATAGAAACAATCACCTCTCACGGAAAGATAGCCTAGATTAACTAAATTATGCATTGTATTACCACAAAGGAAAAATATTTACCGCACCGTTTTTTTTTTTTTTTTTTTGGTGTGGATAAAACCAGGTGTGGTTACTTACAAAGAAAAGATTAGTAATAATAAGGTGAAAATAATACTTTGTTAAGCAAGGACAATAGAGAGCAGTTATTGCAGATGCAGAGCCTTTAAAGGCAAGTCCGATTAAGCCAATACTTTGAGTACAGGATCAAAGTCATCTCAGAAAATGTCTTTTTTGTTTTTCTAGGCAGCTTTTCTTTCACACGTAGATTGCTCTAAGTCTTAAGGTGTCTTTTTTTTTAAAGGAAAACCAACAATCCCATAGAAATGCCTTCTGTAAAGCATTTGCTTTGTCTATGAACTTGGGGTTTTAAAGAATAATGCTGGGTCGTCCCATCTTTCATCTCCTCATTCGCTGCTGTTGCTCATGTGGGATGTTTCTTCTGTTGTCTAATTCTGTCTACACGGCAGGGATTCAGGCTGGGGGCCTTTCTTCTTCATTTGCAAGTGTTTGTTTTGGAAATGAAATGCATTAATCAAAGGCTGCACCTATTCTACCATCCCCGCTGCTGTAGCTCATACTTCGCGAACCCCTTTTCACTTTCCCTAAGTGCCAGTGTACGGTGGTCTAATCATGAACTAGATTGAAGGCCAGGAAGTAGAAGTGCTACCATTGGGGTGTGCAATTATGGCTTGATCCTGATAGTTCCCCCCGCCCCCCCCTTCTTGACTCTTCTGGAGCCACTGTTCTAAAAGGAGCCAGAATTACTCAGTTTGGAAAATCAGCTATGTCAGAAAAGTCAATTGTAAGCCGGAGATGATTGCAGGCATTCCTGTTAGTGACACAGAAATGCAGCAATGACTATCTGACTGCAAACAGTCCATGGGCAAAGGCATCCATCTACTGTTTACCAACGTGAGGCAAGCTGAGACTCAGGCAGAGGGCTTCTACTGCAAACAAAGGTGTCTGATTTCTTTTTCTCTTCTGCATACTTACTTGATAAATGTGTCCTGCTGGGTTTCGCTATGAAATACATCCCCAAGAAGCAGTCTTCGACTGACACAGTGTCACGTTTCGACCTGATTGTTGATGACTTTGAGAAGACTCTATGAAAGGTTCCTTTCCCTTGCCACTGTAAGCTAGGCCAAGGTTGAGTTTCCAAAGTTAGCTAAAATATGTTATGCACAGGAATAGATGCTACCTGATCTCAGTACAAAACATTCCCAGCCTGCAGAGAGAAATTGCTAGTCTCACTGTGCTTTTCTTTAACCTGAGAGACAAGGGTTGTATTTTTTTTCTTCTTCTCATTCTTTGCTCTCTTAATCTTGGTGAATCATATCATTGTTGCATACCGGTAGTCCCAATTAGCTGATTTCGTGAATCTAATAGCAAAGGTAAATCTCCACGTTATTGCCTCCAAGAAAGGAGCTTTGTATAAAGGATAACTCAGTTATCAATTATGATAAAGATCTGTTGTCACTGGTTTTGTTTGCAGGTGTCTTTAATAAGGCTTCCCGTAATCCCTTCAGGAAGAAATATTTTCGTCTTTTAAAAACAGTATTTGCTAAATATAAAAGCTCTGATCCCTGCCATTGTTGTTGACTCTTTGAGGGACATTTCCCAACATTCATTGTTTAAATGGTTGTCAGGAGGAATCAAGTGAACCTTCCTAAACAAGTGCAGTAACTGGTTCATCTCACTTCGAGCAGGCCTTTCTCCAGAGGATTTGCATTCAATGTGTGGGCCTTTGACTGAGGTATCACAGGCATCATTTTGAAGTATTTGGGCCTGTTACTTTATTAGCAAGCGAAGAGTTTCATTAAAGCCACAAAAAATGAATTTGGCCTGCCCTCAAACAAAGGCCAACAAAAATAAAAATGTAAATTGATTTTTTAATTTTTTTTTAAGTTGGATAGGACTCTGTAAGGCCGAAAACAACCTGGTGGTGTTCTGGGACTCTTAATGGAATCATGTAAACTTAAAATAAACACTATTATGGTAAGCACACAGAATGAAAACTAATTTTCCAAATCAAATACATTATATTCAATTCATTTTCCCCAATCAACCAAATGTTTAAAACCTGTTAGCTGTAACAGCCATCTTCTGGAAATTAATTAGAAGCCTATTAGCTCTGCTAGCTGAGCCGAATGAAGAGGGTTGCTCGCTACATTTCTAAGTAGGCTCCTGAATGAAAGCAGAGCAAGGTCAAAATGACAATCAGCTTGACTCACCTCAGGGCTGTGCTTGGGAAGTTGATCTAGTTTGGGTTTTTGTTTTTTTGAGGGTTGAGGGGGAGGGAGTGTTTAGTGTTTTAAAGAAAATCTGATCTACTTTGACTCAGTCTTCTAATAAAATTTTGAAGTTGAAGTCCTACTCAGGTAGGACCATGCATGTGTCATAAATTTTATCTGTGTGAAAAACAGCGCCCTCTCAATTGCATGGGGCTCTGGAACGGACGTGACTTCTAGGCCTCTCGTCTAGCTCATCAACCTTCCCAAGAGTTTTGTTAGTCTCTTTCAGAACTGGGAGAGTAAAAAATTGCCTGTCTGCCTTTGCTTTCAATGTCATTAGCAAAGCCTGTTGCTGACAGCAGAAGGCTCTCAATTTTTACGTTTCTCATCAGATTCTTTGGGTAACCATCCTCATGACCTGCAGCTCCTCCTTTGCTCAGAGAAGCTCACAGAATGTAGTCCTCAATCTAACAGCTGAGTTAGTTGAAACACAAATTTAAAAAGAGCTGGGAATTTCCTAATGAAGAGGTTACCGCTGGTGTTCTCTTGTGCAGGAAGTGATCCTCCCTATCTACATATCTAGTATTCTTAAGACAGAAAGAGTGTGGCAGGATTTATAGTAACAAATAGGAAGCAAACTGAAGAGCTTAGATATCTTCATGAGTAGGGAGTTCAGCTCTCCACTTATCAGAATATTGACAGTAACACTGTCCTGTTGAATGTTTTTTTCTTCCTAAAGATATGCATAGGCTCATGCTCTTCTGAAGACTTAGAATCAAATAGATACAGAACTAATGTAATTATTGTATTTGCCCATGTGAGCTTTTTATTTATTTTTACTATTTTTTTAAATATATTTTTTTATTGATTTCAGAGATAAAGGGAGAGGGAGAGAGAGATAGAAACATCAATGATAAGAGAGAACCATTGATCGTCTGCCTCCTGCACGCCCCTCACTGGGAATTGAGCCCACAACCTGGGCATGTGCCCTTGACTGGAATTGTACCCGGGACCGTTCAGTCCTTAGGCCAACCCTCTATCCACTGAGCCAAACCGGCCAGGGTGAGCTTTTTAATCCAGAACATGCACATTTGATTCGTTTTTCTGTAAGATTGATGGATTTTGTAAGTAAGAGTTGAGAAATGTGGACCATTGGATTAGCACTTCATTGTGTTTAGAACTTCTGATGCTGAGGAATTGAGGGGAGAGGCCTGAGAATACACCCTCCAGTTTGCTCATATGGCTGTAGTTGGTGTACTCTGTAGGAGCAAGTCAGAAGTCAGGGACAGATTTTATAATTCCACTGACTAAATGATAGATAAGAAAATTCTGTTTCAAATGTGAGCAGATTTGCTGGTTAGATAGAGGTTATTAACCTAACTTTGCCCCTTGGACTTCAACAAAAGATTTGTATTTGTGTGGACATTTGTGGGTTTTGTTTACTTTTTGTTTTTTGGGTGTTTTTTTTTTTTTTTTGATAGTTAGCTGTTCATCTCCATGCTAATACCATACAGTGACACAGCTAATTTTGAAATCGTGTGTCTTTTACTCTTTCTGCATTCAGTGAGGAGTCAGCAGGAACGGTGGGGCTATGTGTGGGATTTTGCAACTGAATTGACACAGTTGTGGTGAATGAAGAAATTTTTGATCTACGAAGCTTTTTGACAGGGGAGGCCAGAAGAGAGGGAAGTTTTTTAATATATCGTAGGAAATAAATAATTTATGCAATACAAAATAGCAAGTCTGCAGGTTACCTCAGGGTTGCCCTGGGCTTATCAGATAAGTTAGCTGATAACTGGCAGTAGATATCTGGTTTATCAAAGTGTTGTTCAAACACGTTTTGTTTGTTTGCTTTTTCAAAAATCATAACAGCTTTGAGTATTAACAGTATTTTAAAAACCAAGTCATTTAAGTAAGAACATAGTTCTTCGCGTGTTAACACTAAATATGAAAATAGTGATTAAAATACAAATAGTATAAGATCTTTATCAAGACCTCAGGGATAACATACCACTGAGGGGGAATTCTTTGACTAGGACTTTGGCCATCGAACCATAGTGTATTTGAGTAAACAAACAAAAACATATAGGCAGTAATTAAAATTTACATGTTTAAGTGCTTGATTTCTTCATATCATAGCACAAAATACAGCAGCATAAATCTAGTCTTTGATTTTTTAAAAACAGTGATTTAATTAATAAAGGTCCCATTTGTAATTTTTATAATATTTGATGGGCAGATATGTTGTTTTGTGAATATGATTGCAACTAGATATATAGTGGGAAATCTTGGCATTTCTCCCAAAAAGGAAAACAATGCTTATATTATATATCTGTGATATTTGGATTTGTCATTCTTTTTAGGATTTCTCATTTTTATAACATCTTCC